TCATTTCGATGGCCAATCATTTCTAATAGTAGTAGATTATTATTCGAAGTTTTTTGAAATTTCAAACCTGAATAAGGATCTGACAAGCGAAAATGTAATTTTAAAGCTTAAATCAATATTTGCTAGACAAGGAATTCCTAGAATTCTAATAACAGATAATGGACCAGAATATAGTAGTTTACTATTCAAAAAATTTACTAAGAAATGGGAATTTGAACACAAAACGTCATCTCCAAGATATCCTCAGTCCAACGGGGAAGTAGAAAGAACTATTCAAACAATAAAAGCAACTTTAAAAAAATGCAAAGCTAGCAACTCCGATCCTTATTTAGCATTACTAGCATTACGTAACACACCTTTGACTTATGGACATAATTCGCCAGCTAATATTTTAAGTAATAGAAACTTGAGAGATTTGTTACCAAAAAGTCAATCTAATTATGAACCAACACTTTTCAATAAAGTGAAACACGACGAACTGATTGAAAAATCAAAATCTAAACAAAAAGGCTATTTTGACAAAAGAGGTGTAAAAACTTTGCCTGACATAGAAATTGACTCAAATGTACTAATTCAAGAGACATTGAAAAGTCCTTGGAAAAAAGGGATAGTATTAAGTAAAGTAGGGATAAGATCTTATGAAATAAAACTGGAAAATGGTTCAATAATAATAAGAAATAGAAGATTTATAACACCATACAAACGAGATATTATTAAACCATCTTGCAAGAATTTAGAAGTAAGAGAGTATGATTGTAATAGTTCTAAAAATTATGTATACTTGAATGTAGAAAGTGAGAATGATCATCAGAATCTAAATGATAATCAAAATATGAATGTGGAAGATTCTGATAATGCTGACAGCAGTTTTCAAAGTATAAAGTATGATAATTCAGAGCATAATACAGATTATGCATCAGAAAATCACACAGATTCAAATTCACAAAATAATTCCACTCTTAGCACTGATAGCAGTACAGAGGAAGAAAACATATCAGAATGTTTCAATAATACAGTAACTAGAACTACAAAGTCAGGCAGAATTGTTAGAAATCCGAAAAAATTTCAAAATTTTTACACTTTCAAGTAGAGGTAAACAGTAGACATTAAATGAAGCTAGACACAATCCATAAGAGGGGAAAGAGCTAGGGATATAGGATTAGGATGCTGGATAAGATAACTATGTATGTGATTTAAATGTAAAATGTCCATCGTCATATTATCAATAAACTATGTAATAATTTCAATAAGTAAAATGTACAACATCAAAATATTATGTAAAAATTGTATTATATAAACAATGATGTAAACATGAAAGGGGGAGATGTGACATATTATGTACACCTACACTAGGTTACACTAACCATGCACTAGCACCGATATGTATTGTTCTGTGCCTGGTGCTCTGACTTCCGTGATCTGTGATAAAGATGATTAATAAACCAGTTATCATCCAGCAGTCTTTGAATTCAGACGTCCCGTCTCCAACACTCTCCCAAGTCCACACCACAATTGGGATTTGAAATAATCGATGCATTCGAATTATTTCCATGGGGCTCGTTAAGTCGCCTCTAAGTATAGCAAATATCAGGAAAGATACGCCATTGCATTTTTCTTCTTTCCATCAATATTAATTCTTCTACATTCAACAATTCAACATTGGAATGTAGGCAAATGATGATTCTAACTTCTTTGTATCTACTTTTTTGGCCACTTTTGAACAATTACTTTGATCAATTAATTCCCTCAACTAACTGTTTTAGTATTAATTTGGTCTTGTGTGCCCCATGCAGATATTTGCTCAACGACCCCGTACATTCGGTAGCAGGGTAAGCAATAATAATTGGGTGAACACAAAATGATGGAGTTTTCAATAAAAAAAACTACACAAAATTGCTTTTATAACATTTGCAGAAAAAAATATGTTTAACGTCACTGCTGCCTCTTAAATAAAGTTATTTGTTAAAAAAAAACTTTTGAAATAAAAAGGGAACAGATTTTACAGAATGAAGTCAAATTTCTCATATAGATTCGATTATATGTAGACCTATAATAAAATTAATAAGGCACTAAGGCAGGGTGTTTAGGAGATGGCGATCGCCCCCTTCGCCCCTCGCCCCAAAAAAAACCGCTCCTGGCGGCATTCAATTTCCACATATTATTTTTTTTTTCTAGATGAAAAATAACGTAAAAGTAGGGGTGCTCTTCGATGGGTAACCCTGTACAATCGTGTAAGTAGTTGTTTTATGTTGCATTTCAATTCATGTTCATTCTACTTCAGCAGAACCAGAATATCCACATATATCTACTACTCATATATGAAGCATAGCTGTCCTCAAAGCGGGACCAACTTCTGGTAACGAAATCGACCGATAGGCGTTGATGCCGACGTAGGGAAAGAGTAATACGAAACTTGTTAAACCAATATCGCTACGAATTTCGCATGATTGTGATTGAAATTCGAATATTTGCGTTTTTAGTTGTACAATTCTTTAGTATTTGTGTTTTCCTTTATCTTCCATAGACTGAAATGCAGCATTTGCGGAGTAAAGAATAGACAGGATTCCTCTTTCCATAAGTAAGTTTGAATTTTCAAAATCTTGGGCTTGCAAATAAAAGAAGGTAGATCTAAAACTGAAAATCATAGAACTGAAGTTAGGATTTAGGAGAAAGCTTTCGATAATGATTTCTTATCTGATGCATAGGTTAGGTAGTACGGTACTAATAAAGGCTATTTTAACGATTAATAAAAAAACATGATTACATTTGATAAAATCCAAATCTTTGTAGGTAATGGTTGGTTCAACATGAGTTTGACAATGGAGCTTCAGCCTAATCGTTTCTCTCACATTATCAATGGAGTTATCAATCATCCAACAACAAGCATAATACAGTGTGACCCACTTCTAATGGAACCACCCCTGTATCTTACGTAATCGTTGAGTAAGGATCCTGAAATTTGCTGGAGCGAGAGATATACCAAAAATGCACTCTATGAACAAGTGGGGTCATCCTCAGTGATATACACTACTCGCCAACAGCCATGAAACTACCCCAATTTCCGGAAAATGATATTAAGAGTCAAAATAGGTCGAAAATTACTTCAGATTTGGAATCAGAACGCCCAATTTACTAACTATTCAAATTTTTCCTGGAAAATTTTCAGTTCGGAAAAATGAAATTTTGTCGCATTTTTTATGGAAGCACCCCCGTATCTCACGTAATTGACTTTATCTTTGGACTTTCTCTTCCTCCGGCAAATTTCAGAACCCTCTACCTCAATAATTACGTGAGATACGGGGGTGCTTCCATAAAAAATGCGACAAAATTTCATTTTTCCGAACTGAAAATTTTCCAGGAAAAATTTGAATAGTTAAGTAAATTGGGCGTCCTGATTCCAAATCTGGACTGATTTTCGACCTATTTTGACTCCTTATATCATTTTCCGGAAATTGGGGTAGCTTCATGGCTGTTGGCGAGCAGTGTATATCACTGAAGATGACCCCACTTGGTCATAGAGTGCATTTTTGGTATATCTCTCGCTCCAGCAAATTTCAGGATCCTCACCCAACGATTACGTAAGATACAGGGGTGGTTCCATTAGAAGTGGGTCACACTGTACATATAATGGAAATTTACTAAAAGTAAACCATCAAGTATGATTCAGTAAATGACAAGTATTATAGTGTAGTCCTATCATGCTAAACAGATTTGAGGAAATGAATATATTCAATACCAAGATCTGAAGCAATAATGTTGGATTAAAGGGTGTGACGAGTTTCGAGATTCCACCAAACTGAATGAAATCATTATCACAGTTCATTTCATTATCATCTGCAATGGCTCTCTCCTGTTCCTCAAAGTTACTGACATTATGATTTGCTATATTTCAACCACATTATAAAAGAATACATCGATGTTGACGGTATTATACTGTGGTATCATCCAGGGTATCATCAACGATTGATGATTTTTAATATTTTATTATGATCAAATAATTATTTAGGAACCTAACCTAACTTAAAATCTGATCCTCACGTCAGCAGTTTCCATCCTTCACTTTCCGTCCTTATAGGAAATGAAAGCTCTCAAAATCAACGATTTTCTTATACATAACCAGAAATAAAGGATTTTTTAAATCGACGAATATCTGTGAAAAGTGTGGAAATGTGATTTTTAATTGATCTTGTCCAAATATTCAGCCAAAGCAAAAGTACAAAACATTCATAACCTCAAACTTTGATCTTTTTCTCACTCGTTTACTGGTTTTTGTGGTACGAGCAGTTCATTTTTAAATTTTTGAACCGGAAAGAACCGTATTACGTGGTGACGTCATAACTTACACAAGAAAATGTTTGACTCAAAATCGTTTTAAGCACGGTTCAACAAGAAAAAACAACTAGTATAACTGTCATAACAGTCATGGTGGAATAACAGTCATAACTCATAACTGTCACAAGTCGAATGTCCATTGTCGAAGTCGATCATTAATCATTGATTAATGTGTTTAGTGGTGAGTGGATTTGATCTATCAGTGACGCCTAAACGATTAAACATGCAGTGAAGAAGTATTTCATACCTTAATTGGTAGATTTTTCACTTGACGAAACTGAAGTAAGGTCGAATTAACCTACTTCAATGATTAAAGGGCTCGTTTTCAAATCGTACTAGTGGTGGTGCTACTTGAAAATTATAGACTTTCCACATCAATAACAACACAGACCCTGTGATCTAAACAATTGAATGGTGATATTGGTGATTAGAATTTGACACAATTTCTGTAGTGATTATTATCATGAAAAAAATCGTTTAGTCTATCAAGTTGAAATTGGTTTCTGTAAATTAATGAGATTGGTTGTGTTCTTGAGCTGTAGCTGATTTGGTTATTTAGGTAAACATCAAATCACTTGTAGATACGCCTTCAGAACTCCAGCGTCTTCATACCTATTCAATAGGTAAATTCTGAAAGTAAATTATCTGAATAGTTGGAAAAGTCAGATATGAGTCGAGGACAAGCAGGCCCACGTATACAAGTTCCAGACGATCTTCGGGAAGTTCTGCTTGAATTTACTATAAGCTATTTATTAGAACAACCAGGTGATGTCATAGTTTATGCAGCAGACTACTTCACCAGACTTAGAGATGCTCGAACTACCACCATTCTCTATGATGGTGCTGAAGCTGCTCTAGATGAACCACTCTCACCTGATGAATCCACTATGTCTAGGGAAGATGGTATGTCATTTTTTTATCCTATTCCTGCTGTTATATAATGACAGCAGTTCAACACACAATCCATTACCAATATACAAATTCTAGTTCTAACAGGAATGTAAATTTAGATAAGCCAATTTCCATTTATTAAGAAACATTGATAGTGAATTCCATTGGCAGGAACTGGTGGAGGATTCTGCACTTGATGTATATGTTTCCTTCTTACTCTCATGTGTTAAACAAAGGTAAATATAAACTCAGTGGAGAAACACTTCACCAGTTCCTGCCAATGGAATTTGCTGTGAGATAACACTTGATTTTATTGATTTGATTTTATGTTTAAACTACAGGGTTATCTGTATTTGAGTTAAAATTGAATCAGCAGTATTTCTATAGGTCTCCTGCACATGTGACACATGACCACCCCTGGAGGTTAAACAATCAATCACTTTTCTTATTTGTTTACAAAGGATTGAAATTATTTTGGCATAGGAATCCTGTTTCTTTGGCTATTTATTTATTCAAACATGCCATCACATTTTGCTGTTGTACAATACACAAAAAATGCAGCAAAACACAAAGGAATATTATTATTCAGGTAGATTAATAATTGCTCCTGTGCATTATTTTTATTTTGAAATCTTGTCATTTTTCTTAAGAATTTCTTCTGGAACAGGAGCTAATAGAAAGACTTGTGAAGTTTCTAAAATAGGGCAAGATGCTTGGATTCTTGCATTCAAACAGGAGGACAAAATATGTTCCTGTGTGTTACAATTCCTATTTCTAATTAATTCTAAAGAGAAATGACAATGGTTTTACATGAAAACCGAGATGAAAACTATATGTGAGTGACTAGAGTGACAGTACTTTTAGAACACAATTTACCTGAAAAATTGTATACCTTTGTCTCTTGCTACATTTTTTGTGCATTGTACCACACCAAAATGTGATAATATAGCCCAAAAACATTATTCCTTTGGTAATATAATTGTGAAAAACTATTTCAGTCCTTTGTAAATGAATAAGAAAGGTGAGGTTGTTTTACCTCCATGGTCTGTCATCTGACACATGTGTCATGATTATTCTGTTTTGGATTAGGTCCCTTTATTAGAAAATGTCAAATGGCAAAAAACATATTTTTCCAGAGATATAAAACCTACATTTATTTATCTGTTTTTGAGGCATAAAGTTTGTTTTCACTACCAAGGTAGTTTTCATCATTTTATAAACCACTAGTCAATAAAGATATAATCTGTTGTGATTGACCTGAATGCACTATTTTGATGCAAGATTCACAGGAATGGTACTGGAATCTAGTAAGTATTTATAAATAATGACTCCGCTTATGCTGTTATGGTCATGGCTACTAGATTTTAATTAGAATTGAAATCAAATGGTTTCATAGTGACAATAGGTCCATATTTCAGTTTCACAGAACTAAAATAGTTGAAATGTATTGCTTGTGGTGAAAAAAAATTAATATACACCTTGGTAGTATTATTATTACCACCCACTGGACCTAATACCCCTTGACTGGTGGTGAAAAAAATTTAATATACACCATGGGACCTTATACCCCTCGGCTAAAGCCTCTGGATTTAATCTTGGTTCCTGGGTAATACTGATATTCTTTACTAGCTTGATACATCAATAATTATCTTGAATACATCTAGTGTGAGAAGTATGTACTGGAATCAATCAGTGTGAAAACAGAATGCTTTATACGAGGCTATATATTTTAGCATAGAAAAGAGGTCTGCAAAGGCAAGCTGCAGAGACATGATGTGGATAAAACTCCATTGAATTGATTCAGAAATGGAAATAGTATGGATGATTATTTCTACTGAAAAGCACTCCACATAACACAATCATATATGTGAATATTTTTCGTTGTATCCATTTAGGTAACTTCATCCACCTCATCTTCCACCCTCTTTTTTTTTTTCAAATTGAAATTTCAAGTAAGAACCCAGAAATAGAACTTCTGAATAATTTTCGATTTGAAATAGATGTCAAATACTATTGATGTGGAAGGGGCCATAAGTTCTAGCTACCACAAAGACAACCACTGCCAATGGAAGTATTTCAAGGGAAATTTCATTCAAAAATTCAATTCCAGAGCTTTCCTTGGAATTTAAATTTTTTCAATAGGAGAACAAGTAGGTGGAAGAAGGATGGAATCAAAATCTTACAACCCAGCAGACAACTATATGATTATATCCAGAATTGTTTTTTTGTCTACCTCTTAGATATTTCAGTGAAGAGGGACAAAGCAAGAAAAACAACAAATTCTGTTGATGGTCAGCCATAACTAACCATTTCATTAAGTTCACAGATCACACAGTGTTATATAATGGAATGACTGTTGACATTTAGGGGCACCATAGAAGTATTTTTTGAACTTTTATCAACACTCCCACTAGTCCAAGAAATAGGAAAACATTATTCATTATATCATACCTACCGATTACAGAATGAACTTATAAATAAACAATTTGTAAATCGGTTTATTTAACCTCAACTCTGTCCAACTCTTTAATGAATTTATTATGTTTGAAACGAGTTTGAAAGCAGACAAATTTTTTGTTAAAACATCAGCAGGTATATTGGTCGTTTCCAAAATTCGGCTTCTATAAAGTGAGGCTTTTTATCAATGTAGTCCTTTTATTGAATATGTGGTTAACAGACAATTTTTGAGCACCCATATTGTCGTTATATGATAGTCTTACAACCTTGAGAACCTACCAAATCATACAACAAATTTTTCAAGTAGGTATATGGCTTCTTTAGCAGCCTATGACATCGCCATATACTCAGATTCAGTGCTTGATAAAGCAACAGTTTTCTGCTTTTCCAAGCTACAGGTAGCATCAGATTTTTTGAAAAGTGAATAGATTTCGAGTGGTTCTGCCAAGTTCATAAACCCAGCAGTATAGTTTATGCAAAGTCAGTTGGAAAAACACATCACCGCAAGCCGTCGGTCCCTTTGAAAGTTCAAAGAGTGCGGCAGCGCGGCCCGACATTTGTTTGATGATCTGTTCAACTGACTTTGCATAAACTTTATCATGGATTTTTTTTTAAGGATGAGCGTCAATTTATTACCTCCATTAAGCTAGCAGAACCACTTTGAATTTTTCAATTTTTTCTTCGGCCATAATTTTAGGCTAATTTAAGGCTAATTTATTACCCTATTGCCGAATTTATTGCTCTTCGATTTATGTAAAAAAACGTGGGTTCTGCTAGCTTAACGTTAAGCTAGCAGAACCACTTCGTAAATAAAAGTTCAATCACAAAACTAATTATGCCATAATTTAAGGCTAATTTTAGGCTCCAATCCTAGCCTATTGCCAATTTTTTCGCACATTGTTTTTTTAAAAAAATCATGGGTTTTGCTAGCTTCACCGTTAAGCTAGCAGAACCAAATCTCAAATAGAAGGAATATAAAAATATTGAGTACACCATAATTTAAGGCTAATTTTAGGCTCTTCGTTCAACCTATTATCGATTTTTTTGAAAATCATTTTCTGCAAAAATTTTTCCAAATCCAACATGTAAACATGACAAACCAATAGCAAACCAAACAAAGTTCAATCACAAAACTAATCATGCCATAATTTAGGGCTAATTTTAGGCTCTGATCCTAGCCTATTGCCAATTTTTTTGCATATTGTTTTTTAAAACAATCATGGGTTTTGCTAGCTTAACCGTTAAGCTAGCAGAACCAAATCTCAAATAGAAGGAATATAAGAATATTGAGTGCACCATAATTTAAGGCTTATTTCAGGCTCTTCGTTGAACCCGAGGTTGAACCTATTATCGATTTTTTGAAAAATCATTTTCTGCAAAAAATTTACCAAATCCAACATGAACATGACAAACCAATAGCAAACCAAAAAAACTTCAATCACAAACCTAATTATGCCATAATTTCAGGCTGATTTGAGGCTCTGAACCTAACATATTGCGAATTTTTTCGCACACTGTTTTTTTTTAAATCATGGGTTTTGCTAGCTTAACCGTTAAGCTAGCAGAACCAAATCTCAAATAGAAGGAATATAAGAATATTGAGTGCACCATAATTTAAGGCTAATTTTAGGCTCTTCGTTGAACCTATTATCGATTTTTTGAAAAATCATTTTCTGCAAAAAATTTACCAAATCCAACATGAACATGACAAACCAATAGCAAACCAAAAAAACTTCAATCACAAACCTAATTATGCCATAATTTCAGGCTAATTTGAGGCTCTGATCCTAACCTATTGCGAATTTTTTCGCACACTGTTTTTTTAAAAAAATCATGGGTTTTGCTAGCTTAACCGTTAAGCTAGCAGAACCAAATCTCAAATAGAAGGAATATAAGAATATTGAGTGCACCATAATTTAAGGCTAATTTTAGGCTCTTCGTTGAACCTATTATCGATTTTTTGAAAAATCATTTTCTGCAAAAAATTTACCAAATCCAACATGAACATGACAAACCAATAGCAAACCAAAAAAACTTCAATCACAAACCTAATTATGCCATAATTTCAGGCTAATTTGAGGCTCTGATCCTAACCTATTGCGAATTTTTTCGCACACTGTTTTTTTAAAAAAATCATGGGTTTCGCTAGCTTAACCGTTGAGCTAGCAGAACCAAATCTCAAATAGAAGGAATATAAGAATATTGAGTGCACCATAATTTAAGGCTAATTCTAGGCTCTTCGTTGAACCTATAATCGATTTTTTTGAAAATCATTTTCTGCAAAAAATTTCCAAATCCAACATGAACATGACAATACATTAGCAAATTAAAAAAAGTTCGATCACGAAACACATTATAGGTACCGAAATTTAGGTACATACATTTTCATTGCAATTATATTCTATTCAATGGAAGTTACTAATCACAATTACAAATTTCAGTGCTTTTATGTATAGGAATGTAAAATGTTGGTAAAAAATCTCGTAAAAAATACAAGTTTATGAATACGAATACATCATATATTTTTGCCTTTAACTGTTCACCAAAATAAGAGA